ATATATATAAAAAAAACTAAAATAACAAAGAGAATGCCCAGCGAGTTAAAAGGGAAAAAAGAAGAAATTAACTGACCTGTGACTTAAGCACATTTTCTCTCAAGCACACACACACACACTCACACACTTACTGCATTTAATCACGTCGGACACGCACGCATATCATGTTTTACATGACGTGCAGCTTGTCAGACTTTTTTAAACAACCACCACAGGTTACTGACTGACCAGATGTCTGAACTGGCTCGCAGGCCAGCAGACTACCTGAGTTACACGTCATTGATTGATTTATTGACTCTCTAATAGAATGACAGCTATTGGCATTTTCTGAAGAATGCCTGAAACCAACCACTTAATGGGGCGATTTGTTTTGTTAACTACTCAGCTCTGCAAATCCTTCTCAGATCGCCCCGAGGCTTGAAGTGTGACTTTCTGGTGGCTTTCTCCCTTACTATTGTAGTTTGTACACAACAAAGCACATACCGGTTGACTTCATGAACTACAGAGCGACTAAAATCAACGGGGTAAACTTCACAGACTGACTGTGCAAACATGCCAGGCATCTATATCTGATGACGGAGAGAAGAGGAGGGTTCAGACTCAGGTGAATTTGTGTTAACAGATGCAACATGCTAGTAAAAAGCTGATAAATATTTCAAAATATAAGTCGACACACCAGAGCATGCATTACTCTTTGGAGAACCCCCCCCCCCCCCCCGTGCCCTGTACATATGTATCCCAGTTGGAAACCGCCTGTTTTATTAATATTCACTATTCAGGCGCTAAAACTCAGTGATTACGTTTGGTTCAACAATATCAACATGGTGTGTGACATAAAAACACTATTTCTTCTATCACACGTGTTAAAATAATCACCGTAGCTGTAAAATGCTGAAGAGAAATATGATGTAGAAGAAGAACTGAGTCCATGTCATGTAGTTCTGTAGATGGCTGTTCAGAGTGGATGTTAGCCCAACCCTGCTAAATATTTTAAGAATGTAAAAGTACTGGTGTATTCTGCATATTCATTCAGGCCACAACATCTAGAAAACTGCCACAGAAAATATTGAAAAATGATATATTAAAAGAAATATGTATTTCAGTGCCTCCTGCATCTGATGCCTCAATGCATCTGCAAAAGCCCCACTGTGTGCATTGAGTGCAGAGTGCTAACTGTGTGTAATGTTCACATTTTGGGCAGCAGAAAGCTGTACTGTTAATGTAACTCGCTGACACCTGCAGTAAAGCAATTAATACAAGTGGCTTAAAGGCAAAATCTCTCCCGCCATCTTTCCCATTTCTCTCCCGCTCTCCTTCTTCACTCATAACTGGATGCTTTCAGCAGAAAACGCCGCTCTTTAATAATTTGTATTCATGTGTCATCGCGCAGGCTACGGGCACTTTTTAGCTCTCAGATACGGCTGCAGATCCAACAAGCTCACTAAAACACCATCAACAAATAATACAGCGAGACGAGCATGACCGTCTCAAAGAGACTTATCAGCTAAATAATCAGCCAACAGCAAACGCACAGAGACACGTGTTAAATGTTACACCGATGGTGCCGTGAGAGCAACAGCCTGCAAAAGCGAGATGTGTTAGTGTCTCGCATGCATGGATGGATAATGAGACAATGGGCCCCTGGGCGAAAACATGTTAAAGCCTGCCACACCTCCTACATAAGAGGAGATGATGCCCCAGACTGAGGAACACAAAACGACTGCAAACCACACGTTCATGTCTCTCTTTGGTCATCTTCAATGTCTGTAGTTGTTTTTGGTCTCTTTGTGGTGGTTTGATTGTCTTTTCAAAAGGAAATGTTAGCAGTGACTCCACACTGAGGCTCTGGCCTCAAGGGCCCAAGAGGTCAGAGGCTCGTTCAGTTACCCATCCATGCTCACATGTGGGAATGAGTTTGGGGATACATCCCGAGGCTGGCTAGTGGCGAACATATGTTCATAATGGTTGTGTAGCAACAACCTGTTTGGCACCAAGATAACTGACCTATTCCTGCTTTTCTCCAAGGTTTCCTCTCAGCAGGAGAGATGAGCTTCAAGTCTTCGACGTCTTTGTTTGTCTATGCAAGTTGTTATATTGTTTAAGAGCAGATGTGTGTCTGCTGTGTTAGCGTGTGTGTCTAACAGTCTAAATCCCCACCGCCACATCAGAACAGTTGTAGTAACACCTCGGGTCCCCAGTCCATAGCTGTCTGAGCCACGGCGAACACGGCGGCCCCGAGCGTCGCGGACAGCCCCCACACTGCCATCTTCACCATCCGGTTCCCCGTCCCCCACAGCTGGCCTCGGTCCCGGGGCAAAGCCGCTTCCTGACCTGAGGGTCGAGAGGCTACGAGCACAGAACAAGGAGGAGGGGTCAGACAGTGAGGAGAGGACACATGGAGAGGTCACGAGGAGTCATAACACTGGAAGCTGAACCAAAAGGAGGATCAAGCTGCATTATGTTACTGGGATTGAAAAGAAAAGGAATGTCAAAACACAAGGAGTAGAGACAAGGAGGGGGCAAAAGTATTAAACAACCAATTCTGCTCCATGCTTTGAGCTCAGCAGCACTCTCACTTTAATTAACTAGAGGCCTAAATAGTTATGAACTCCACCCTCATCAGCCAACAGTCATCTCTTGTTTAACATTTAGACAGCAGGTTGTCTCTTACGGACTCCCATTCATTGTCTGCCACAGTGAAGTTAGGAGGTGCTCTTTCTGTGCGTTATGCACTTCATCTTGGCTGCCGCTAATTGAATTTTGATGAAACTGCAGGGAATAATGTGCATCAATTTCAATATTACATTGTTTGGCCTGAGGGGAATGTTAAAGCACATTTTTGATTGCGTGTACATCACAGACAATATGTCAGAGGCCACTGATCACATTCTCACAAAAACCAATGGGAATGAAGCATCGCTTTGCTCTCTTCTGGCATATCGAAATGTGCACTTGATTGGTCTGATGGGGGTGCTACATCATTTGTTTACTTGTTATTGATTGGCCCAAAG